TTAAACAAGCTCAAAAATTGAGAACAGCGTTTAACAATCACGAATAATTTATAAAAACATTTCCAATAAGTAAAAAATCACTGGCATAATGTGAGAGATATCTCACCCATTCCTCCAACCTTAAACCAAAAATTTCCATCCCAGATCGTGGCTCATACATTTCTCTGAATTTAAATTTTCTAGCTTTATTTTGTAAGTAATACTAGGTAACCAAAATTAAAAAAAAAAAGTTCACTATAATAAAGTCCGATTGAATGAATTCATATAATTAATTCTTCAAGAGATGGCTAATTTCTACAGTTAATAACAACCATACATCTGGTTGATACTATGTAACATCCATGTCATGTTCAAGTCAGGTCACAATCTTTATATATGGATTCTAAAATTTAAACTTTTCTGCTTAAACAATTGAAATTTGTTTACATGAACTGAAAAGTTTCACAAATTGTATATCAACCAATCCATTTCCTGAAATATGGCAGGCACTATGTCCTTTGGTGTAGATGAAGATGAGGCAGACTCCTATCTGAGTTCATATGAACATTGACACAAAAAGCATTACAAATCCATTTATCTACCACCGCCACACCAGATGGAAGCTAATCCAGCTCCATTGAAGTAAGCATTGAAAGCTTGCAGTACTTGCTTGACAACACAACAAATCTGATAATGTCCACTGTTCACATCAGAAATCTTCAATTTAGTGGTCATCTTCATTGGTTCCAGGGCAGTTGTCCAAAAGGGCTTCACTTGATTCGTACTGAACAAATAGGAAGGAAGATATAAAATGCAACCAAAGTTAGCGGCTTTTTATTTCTCAATCATACTGGATATGCTATTTCATCTGATAAAAATATCTTCAAATGAACTTTTACTGATTACTAAGAAATAAATCAAGCGCTTACTTACTTTGCATCCACAGAAGAGGCAATAATTAAATTCATCCCTCAGTTTCATCAAAACATCGTTTAATTCCTGCATCCATTACATCCCGTCACCAACACCATCAAAATTGCAAAAGAAAAAACACATAGACTAAGTTCAACAATAATGAGCTCAAAAAATTAACAAATGAATCACAATAATTTCTGAATGCTGTAAAAAAGAGAGAATGTGTATTCAGTTTCCATACTATTTTGGGCAATAAACATAAATGAAAACCAAAAACTGGGTCAAAAGAAATATAAGTGAAAAAGTTATGGTTAAGTTACGTGCCTCTTCTGTTATTTCTTCCTCTTCTTCTTCAACCTCTGAATCATCATCATTCTTTTCTGGCTCCAAAATTTCCCTATTTTCCAATTGGTCAAGGGCAGCCTTTGCCTTATTATAATTAATTATAATTCTCTTACTCTGCCACTGTGACTTCTGCCTGGACCCAAATTCTTTCATTAGGTCCTCTTCTTTCCTCCTTTTCCTGTTCAACATGATTTCCTCCTTTTTCCTCTTCTCTTTGTGGGGATCTTCTAATCCTACACCAGCTCGTGACCGCCGAATTTCAATCCCCACTGGTTCGGCCCTGCCTGAGCCCTGCTTGCCAAGGGCAGAACCTGGAGTGTAACCCATCTGTTTGAGAAGCTTAAACCCAATGTTGGATTGTGGTATTGGAGCTTCCACTTTTGCTAATGTTTGCTCATCCTCGTCTTGTTGCTTCCTTTCTCTATCAAGTTTTCGTCGCTCTTGCCAGCTTAGAGTTTTCAACCGGTTCCTTGAAGGGTTGACCGAAGGATCTTTCTTGATGGAAATCTGCATGAAATAAAGTGATTTAGCATCACTTTGTATGGTAACTGTAAAATGAAAGGCTAAGGAAACTTAATCATCTAGCAATAACTCTTTGGAAAGGCAAACAAAATAGCTTCCAGTATTCATGCTTCATTCTTTTAACTGACTACTCAAATTTGGTCCGCCTAAGATACACGCGACAGCAGCAATGACAGTCAAAGCTTAAACTAGACATACGATTATCCCATTGATGAATCTATGAACACCAATTTGATCACTACAGATGTGCATTTACATTAACTTTTAATTCAAATTCTTCAAAAAAACTAACTTAAAAAGTTGAGTGAACCTTTCAAGGTTTAATTTCAAATATTTACTCTAATTTTTGTGAAAACAGAACTTCTGTACACTGCCTAGTGCGGGTATATATGAAGTGGCAGAAAAAACAGAACATGCACACATGCATACATAAACCCAAAGTTTAAAATACCGTCCGCAACCTCAATGGTTACTTCATATCAAGGTTTTCTCAATTCTCAAAACCTCAATTGCAGCTACTCTCCAAAATCGAGGATTGAGATAAAATTGCAACCTTGCTACTACAGGTAAGCAAAACTTCTTAATAACCATCTAACACAAATTTATAGAAATTAAGAAAAAAAATCAAATTTTCACCCACGGAAACGAATGTCCAACAAAATAGCTGTGAACGGAAACCAAACTGATAATGTTATGAAACTGTTTGTTAGCAATAAAGCACCAACTTTTCAGAGCTTAAACTTAAATTCCAAGACCAAATTGTAAAACCATGTGAAGTTACTGCAGGGGAATGGGAAAGGGAAATTTAAAGACCTAATTTCATTCATACGCCATGGCAGAATCAAAACGACAACGAAGAAGGGTAAACCGGTGAAGTAACTAACCTTTTTGGATGAAGAAATCTTGGGAGTGTCCAAAGCATCGGAAGGAAGAAACTGAGAAAGGTCACCCATGTAGTCATCTTCTTGCACCTCGTTTCCTTGTGCACCGTTTTCTCTCTCCCTCGTCGCCGGTGATGAATCCATGGCCAACAAAAACTACAATGGGCTTACGAAGACGCGAGCTGATCATGAATGCGCTTCTGAGCCTATCAAGCCCATTAATAATAGTTCAATGGGCGCTTCTTCCTGCACTCACATAGTTTCTTACTGCACCTCTAGATATTTGAAAATTTTAATTTAACCCTTTCTTTTATTTTGAGTTTATAAACACTTTGAGAAAAATACAAAATTTCTATTTTGAATTGTATAATTAAAAATCTAAAATAAAACCTATATAATAAATTCTACAATTCAAAATATAAAATTTGTAATTTATATTGAAAAATCTACAATTTATTTTCTATTTCAAATTATATAATATAAAAATTTACAAAATTTTATTTACGATTAAGATTATAAATATTCAAAATTTTAATATATTTTAGTTTTTAAATTTAAAAAATAAATTAATATAGTTCTCTCAATCTAATTATTTTCAATTTTATTAATGAGTCAAACATATTTTTAAGATTGGATTAAGAAAATTATATCTATTTAATTTTTAAGTTAAACATTAAAATATNAAACTAACACCTTCAGGGGAACATGGCACTTCCAAAACTTATTGACGCTCACATCACAGGCATTCTTCAAGGGAACATTTCTCTTCCTATGTCATCTCCATATCCAGCAACATTCCTTGTCACTCCATTCTCACATACCTGTTCAAGATGCATGTTTATCCTTTGCAATTTAATATAATCTGCAGAAAGTGTATATTAGAGTAGAAACACCAATAAATAATCATTCCAGAACTTAGTTTGCCCCTCCCCAGACTACTCCCATAGAGAACACAAAGGAGCAACACAACTTACAGATTTCATATTACAGAAATCTCTCCTGCACACAAACTCAGATTCATCTATCATTTGGAATCACTCTATCCAACAAACCAAATCTATATACCACGAGATTATACCATGCACTGTTTTTCATAGTTAAACATTGTCATATCCACCTGTTCAAAAGGTTTAGATTAAAGATGTCAAAACTTTCAATACTCAGCCGCTAAGGCTTGCTCACACACCTGATACCAACAAACAGAGATACGCAACATAGTGGCCTAGAGAAATACTTAATTCAGCATATAAAACCTCCAAATACTTACCCTTCAAAGGGGCAAGTCTACTCTTAAATGTAGATTTGCTTCCATGTCGCCACTTCTCTTCGATTTATATCAGGCTAAACCAAGAGTTTAGAAGGAATCCCGATAATATTTCAATGAAGAAAAGAAGCTGCCAGCAAAAACTGATCATCCACATAAATACCCATCACATAACGAATGAAATTTTACCTTCAAAGTTAAACAAGCTCAAAAATTGAGAACAGCGTTTAACAATCACGAATAATTTATAAAAACATTTCCAATAAGTAAAAAATCACTGGCATAATGTGAGAGATATCTCACCCATTCCTCCAACCTTAAACCAAAAATTTCCATCCCAGATCGTGGCTCATACATTTCTCTGAATTTAAATTTTCTAGCTTTATTTTGTAAGTAATACTAGGTAACCAAAATTAAAAAAAAAAAGTTCACTATAATAAAGTCCGATTGAATGAATTCATATAATTAATTCTTCAAGAGATGGCTAATTTCTACAGTTAATAACAACCATACATCTGGTTGATACTATGTAACATCCATGTCATGTTCAAGTCAGGTCACAATCTTTATATATGGATTCTAAAATTTAAACTTTTCTGCTTAAACAACTGAAATTTGTTTACATGAACTGAAAAGTTTCACAAATTGTATATCAACCAATCCATTTCCTGAAATATGGCAGGCACTATGTCCTTTGGTGTAGATGAAGATGAGGCAGACTCCTATCTGAGTTCATATGAACATTGACACAAAAAGCATTACAAATCCATTTATCTACCACCGCCACACCAGATGGAAGCTAATCCAGCTCCATTGAAGTAAGCATTGAAAGCTTGCAGTACTTGCTTGACAACACAACAAATCTGATAATGTCCACTGTTCACATCAGAAATCTTCAATTTAGTGGTCATCTTCATTGGTTCCAGGGCAGTTGTCCAAAAGGGCTTCACTTGATTCGTACTGAACAAATAGGAAGGAAGATATAAAATGCAACCAAAGTTAGCGGCTTTTTATTTCTCAATCATACTGGATATGCTATTTCATCTGATAAAAATATCTTCAAATGAACTTTTACTGATTACTAAGAAATAAATCAAGCGCTTACTTACTTTGCATCCACAGAAGAGGCAATAATTAAATTCATCCCTCAGTTTCATCAAAACATCGTTTAATTCCTGCATCCATTACATCCCGTCACCAACACCATCAAAATTGCAAAAGAAAAAACACATAGACTAAGTTCAACAATAATGAGCTCAAAAAATTAACAAATGAATCACAATAATTTCTGAATGCTGTAAAAAAGAGAGAATGTGTATTCAGTTTCCATACTATTTTGGGCAATAAACATAAATGAAAACCAAAAACTGGGTCAAAAGAAATATAAGTGAAAAAGTTATGGTTAAGTTACGTGCCTCTTCTGTTATTTCTTCCTCTTCTTCTTCAACCTCTGAATCATCATCATTCTTTTCTGGCTCCAAAATTTCCCTATTTTCCAATTGGTCAAGGGCAGCCTTTGCCTTATTATAATTAATTATAATTCTCTTACTCTGCCACTGTGACTTCTGCCTGGACCCAAATTCTTTCATTAGGTCCTCTTCTTTCCTCCTTTTCCTGTTCAACATGATTTCCTCCTTTTTCCTCTTCTCTTTGTGGGGATCTTCTAATCCTACACCAGCTCGTGACCGCCGAATTTCAATCCCCACTGGTTCGGCCCTGCCTGAGCCCTGCTTGCCAAGGGCAGAACCTGGAGTGTAACCCATCTGTTTGAGAAGCTTAAACCCAATGTTGGATTGTGGTATTGGAGCTTCCACTTTTGCTAATGTTTGCTCATCCTCGTCTTGTTGCTTCCTTTCTCTATCAAGTTTTCGTCGCTCTTGCCAGCTTAGAGTTTTCAACCGGTTCCTTGAAGGGTTGACCGAAGGATCTTTCTTGATGGAAATCTGCATGAAATAAAGTGATTTAGCATCACTTTGTATGGTAACTGTAAAATGAAAGGCTAAGGAAACTTAATCATCTAGCAATAACTCTTTGGAAAGGCAAACAAAATAGCTTCCAGTATTCATGCTTCATTCTTTTAACTGACTACTCAAATTTGGTCCGCCTAAGATACACGCGACAGCAGCAATGACAGTCAAAGCTTAAACTAGACATACGATTATCCCATTGATGAATCTATGAACACCAATTTGATCACTACAGATGTGCATTTACATTAACTTTTAATTCAAATTCTTCAAAAAAACTAACTTAAAAAGTTGAGTGAACCTTTCAAGGTTTAATTTCAAATATTTACTCTAATTTTTGTGAAAACAGAACTTCTGTACACTGCCTAGTGCGGGTATATATGAAGTGGCAGAAAAAACAGAACATGCACACACGCATACATAAACCCAAAGTTTAAAATACCGTCCGCAACCCCAATGGTTACTTCATATCAAGGTTTTCTCAATTCTCAAAACCTCAATTGCAGCTACTCTCCAAAATCGAGGATTGAGATAAAATTGCAACCTTGCTACTACAGGTAAGCAAAACTTCTTAATAACCATCTAACACAAATTTATAGAAATTAAGAAAAAAAATCAAATTTTCACCCACGGAAACGAATGTCCAACAAAATAGCTGTGAACGGAAACCAAACTGATAATTTATGAAACTGTTTGTTAGCAATAAAGCACCAACTTTTCAGAGCTTAAACTTAAATTCCAAGACCAAATTGTAAAACCATGTGAAGTTACTGCAGGGGAATGGGAAAGGGAAATTTAAAGACCTAATTTCATTCATACGCCATGGCAGAATCAAAACGACAACGAAGAAGGGTAAACCGGTGAAGTAACTAACCTTTTTGGATGAAGAAATCTTGGGAGTGTCCAAAGCATCGGAAGGAAGAAACTGAGAAAGGTCACCCATGTAGTCATCTTCTTGCACCTCGTTTCCTTGTGCACCGTTTTCTCTCTCCCTCGTCGCCGGTGATGAATCCATGGCCAACAAAAACTACAATGGGCTTACGAAGACGCGAGCTGATCATGAATGCGCTTCTGAGCCTATCAAGCCCATTAATAATAGTTCAATGGGCGCTTCTTCCTGCACTCACATAGTTTCTTACTGCACCTCTAGATATTTGAAAATTTTAATTTAACCCTTTCTTTTATTTTGAGTTTATAAACATTTGAGAAAAATACAAAATTTCTATTTTGAATTGTATAATTAAAAATATAAAATAAAACCTATATATTAAATTCTACAATTCAAAATATAAAATTTGTAATTTATATTGAAAAATCTTCAATGTACTTTTTATTTTCTATTTCAAATTATATAATATAAAAATTTACAAAATTTTATTTAGGATTAAGATGATAAATATTCAAAATTTTAATATGTTTTAGTTTTTAAATTTAAAAAATAAATTAATATAATTCTCTCAATCTAATTATTTTCAATTTTATTAATGAGTCAAAAATATTTTTAAGGTTGGATTAAGAAAATTATATCTATTTAATTTTTAAGTTAAACATTAAAATATATTAAAATTTTGATTAAATACAAATTATAATTTTTTATGAAAGTTTAAAAACTACAAATATACTTAACCTTTTTATTTATTTTTATCATAGAAAATATATTTCAAATGGTATAATCTAAAATATAAAATAAAAAATCACATTCAAAATTATGCAATTAAAAAAATGTATATTTAATAAGAGAAATGATAAAAAAGTGAAGGAAAAAGAATGTGTGTGAGAAGAGAGAGGAGAGGAGTGTGCCAGGGCTATGCGATAGTGGGAGAGAGGGGTCGTGGAGAAGGTTTATAAACATCTATCGTGTATAGTAATTGATTTTTTTATTTGTAAATTATAACTTAAGATTTGTGAATATTTTAATTTTACATTTTGAATACTGTCTATAAAAGAGGATTTTCTAAAATATAACGTAGTGATAAGCAAGAATAAACTATTAAATATTTTTTTTACTATGTTACATATTAGGGAGACAGTATTTGAAATTGTCTAAATTATCTCTATTATTAATAAATTATTATCTGGGTCACACTTGCCACAAATAAAATATTGTTTTTTTTATCTAAGTTAATTTTACTTTTGAATTCATGCATGGGAGTTATGTTTTAAATTAATTACTAGAAGGATTAAGTGGTATATCATGGTGAACATTTTATTACGAGAAAGTTGTTAAATGCATGCATGATTGGGTTTGGCGACTTCAGCCATATTAAACTTAAGTAACTATATTATTAAGTAAAATCATGTATATGATTGATAATTTCAATCTTCAACATATATGATTAATGATTTTAATCTAAGTTTAATTTTACTAAAAATCGTGAATGTTGGATTACTTTTCTTAACTAAGATCGTGTTTAGGGTTAACAACTTTAAAAAATAAATTATACCGAAGTCATGCAATTCACTTATATTAAATAAAATAAATAATTTAAAATATAAAAAATATATGTGAAAAAGTCGTCCACTCATTACATGATTTTGATGTAATTTAAATCTCATACATTATACATGACTTGAGTAAAATTTATACTTTACTTAATAGTGATAATTAATTAAATTTACTGAAGTCGTCAAACATAAAAATAATTTCAATATTATTGAATAAATCGTACATGTATTTTACAACTTCGTGACGAAATTGTCAGCGCGATGTACAATTAACTCTTCAAGTAATTTATTTAAATTGTAATCAAATGCGTAAATTCGAAAATAATTAACTAGTTATGTAAAAAAAACCAATAAAATTTACCTCATGCAAATAAAACAACAATACTGAATCAAAATCAATAAATTCCCTAATGTTTTACTCAACACAGATTCTATCTGACACATACTTGTAATAAATTGAATATGAATAATTCTTCTTATTAAACGAGAAACTATTAAAATTAATTAATTTATAAAGTAAATTCTTATTTGAGTGGGAAAAAATTACACAAAAATCTCTTAAAATTAATCAATTTCTCTTTAGTTATTCGCAGGAAAGTGATAATATAAATATAAGTATTTCAAAACTTAAAATCTGCAAAAGAATCAATTTTTATTTTACATACATACACACACACACATATATATATATATATATATATATATAACTTTTTTTAAACTAAATTGACATTGGTAAACCAATAAAGTACTTGATACTAATTAAGAAATTACAAAATATCACACAAAAAACATTATAGTGTTAATATGGATTATTTATATTATCGGAGATACTTGTTTGTTCTTTTTTTTAAATAATTAATTTTAATAAAATAAATAAAAATTTGTTTTATTTGTATTTTGTTGAATTTTTTTGCGTTTATTTTTTTTAAAAATAAATGTCTATTTAATACAATAGCTATATGTTTATTTGTTTTAATTTTAGTTTTGTTAAATAAATAATATTTAACTTATTCAATTTTATCTATGTTAATAAGGTAACCATTTTTATATAAATTAATAGTAAATTGGTTTACAAATGAATATTAAACATTTTAACTTATGATAGATAAATTATTTTATTATTTTGAAATTTTCATGGTAACATTAGTATCAAAATTAAACTATAATTATTTTGATTTCTTTATTTATTTTTAAATAAAAATGCGAAGGACACGTATACTTACTTGGGCATTGCGCGCCAAAACAAACTAACCACAACGAACTCTTATTCGTGGACCCCACCGGAAACTCTCCCTCTCTCGCAACTGCAACCATCGCAGTGTCACTGCACTGTGCAAACGATTACTGAATCGCTCGAAAGTGAAAACGAAGAATAAGAATTAGGTAATAAACTCGTTCGTTCGTTAATCCATCGATTGTTAGACCTTATGCTGTTTCTTTTTCTCTTCACTTCGTTTAACTCAATTCGATTTCGTGTCTGTGAAGGGAGAAGAAAATAGAAAGACATGGTTTGCAACTACGTCTGCGTGAATCTCGCATTCGTTGTCTTCTCGGCAGCTTTGATTTCTCGCTGTTTCGGATTTACGGATCCCGCTGATGGTGATTTAAATATCTGTTCATATTGTTCTTGATTATTCTTGTACAGTTCTAGACCAATCTTTGACTCGCAATTATTAAAATTGATTAAATAGATTTTTTTATGTGCATTTGAGTTGCCTTGGAATCTCATCAGTTTCATGTTCATATTGAAGAAAATTACGTGGTTGGGATTCTAGAGACTATGTAGTTTACTTTTTGCGTTTGTGCAGTATAACAGAGATTATAGAAAGTCAGTGATGTTAGAATGTTAGTTCGGAGTTGTTGATCTGCTTTATAGAGTGTTCATTGTATGATTTTCATCTTATCAGTTCAATATGAATCCTTTTGAGTTTTACTCTCATTGCTCGAGCTATGGCTCCCGACGTTGTCTCTGCGTTCTGAATGTATATTTTGTGGTTGTATGTTACTCTTTATTGAGATTTCCTGTTGTTTATTGGTTTCGCTCTTTAGTTTTTGTTAAATGATTTTTGTTAGTGTTTACAAAACTGAAGTCTATTTAACCAATTTTGACAGAATAACCAAAACAGTAGAAGAATACTCGTTTTTGTTGAATTCGTATAGAGTTAATTTGAAGGAGACATGACATATTTAGATACAGATAGAAAAATTGAAAATCCATGTACATACTACTTGTGACGGTTGTTATTTACTTGATTATAATCCTCAGTGAAATTGAACTCGTTCTTGTACAGCTCGCAATCTCCATGGGATTCTGCTACTAAACTATATATTTTCCGTAATTCTTTTTATAAACAGTCACAGCTCTCCAGGATCTATACAGGGCCTTAAACAACCCTCTAGCGCTGAAAGGATGGAACGGTAATGATCCTTGTGAGGAATCTTGGACGGGAATAGCATGTTCCGGGTCATCAGTTATACACATGTAATATCCTGACTCTGCTGATTACACTCGTATTCATATTATAATGCCTCTAATAAATAAACCTATTATACCTGCTCTCTTCTTCATGCAGCCAAATTCAACGACTAAACCTTACCGGGCATCTTGGAAGCTTGCTCAATAATCTACAAAACTTAAAGCAGCTGTAAGTAATTGTATAGCTTTAAGTTCGTACGGGGATGGTTTTTGTTAAGATCAGGGATTAATTACGTCCAAATTATTTGGCCTGTGTAGTGATGTCAGTTTTAACAACATACTTGGGGAAATCCCTCAGGGTTTACCTCCAAATGCAACACATATGTAAGAATACTATTCGTTTAGTTTTACCACTTCGTGACAGTTCTTTGCTTTCTGGTTATGTATACACATGTATCTTCGCAGTGAGTTTTACGGACAATTTTTCTCTATTTCAGAAATATGGCTTGCAACTATTTCAGCGAAAATATCCCCCATTCGTTGTCAACAATGACAAAATTAGCACACCTGTGAGTTACATTAGTATTGATTTTAGTCCAGGCTTGATAGAGGACATAATAGAAATACGGAATGCTCTTAACCAGTATATCCCTCGTATCTGTTGATTATGGTAGTGTTGAGTTTTACAAATGACTGTGAATAATCACACTATTTGTCTTGCAGGAATTTAAGCCACAATTTCTTGTATGGACCCATTGGGAACGTGTTTACTGGTTTAGATAATCTCAAAGAAATGTATGTTTTCTTCCCGTCTTTTGCTATTGTAGTTTAATTAAATGAAAGGAATCGATAATCCAATCTGTCTGCTTAAAACCTAAAGCATTTATGTCCATTGATTATTTTTTTCTGTATATATATTACTTATTCTGAATATTATGTATCTAAAGAATAGACGATGAAGCCAACTTAAGCCTCAAATTTTAATGACTTATTTAAACCTCAATTTTTAATTACAAATTTAAATCTCAATTTATAATAACTTACAAGGGAAAGAGAAGAGTGTGTAACATATATAGACTAAAATAAAAATAAAGATGTGCCATGCCTTTTAATCGTTCCCCTTTTGTTGAAATGGATAATAAAGAACAAGGTGCTGTTGTTTTTCGCGTTTTAAGGTTAGCTGAAGTAAAGCTTATAATGAAATTAGATTTGTCTTAAGAAAGTGAGGCCACAAAATGTAGATGTTTTGACTATTTTGGTTAGATATGAATCTTCAAGTAACAAAGAATAATTTTTACCCCCAGGGACCTTTCATACAATAATTTCACCGGTGATCTGCCAAGTTCATTTGGTTCCTTGACAACCCTGGATAGATTGTAAGTTTCAGCTTTCGTACACCTGTACCATGTTTCCTAAACTTGATTAGTATTATATACTTAGACAGGGCTTTTGTTATAAAGGGTAATTTATTTTCTTTATACATTAGGGTCATGTTGGTTTGATCTGTCACCTAACTGGTGCTTATTTGCAGATTCCTGCAGAACAACAGATTCACCGGATCAGTCACCTACCTGGCTGAGCTTCCACTCATTGATTTGTAGGTTACCTCTAAACATTTTTCACATAGTATGATTATGAAAAGAAAAATGAGAATTATGTATAGAACTTGCAAGGTACAAGAGTTTATAGATATAACCGCTGGCACTGTGAGGGTCCAGCAACCTCTCAATCATTTTATACTTTTCGCCACAACCACAGCTTCCAGTTTCTTTGGGTCAGCTGCAACACCTGCAGAGATGATGTGTCCCAAATATTTCAGACTTGGCTGCTTAAAACTACATTTCTTCTGATTTACGCTCAGGTTATGTTGGGCTAAAACATCCAGAACTGCCCTTAAGTGTTGCATATGTTCTTCTTATTAGTTGATGACAAAAATAAGAATGTCATTAAAGAAAACCAATACAAATTTTCTAAGAAAAGGTTTTAATACCTCGTTCATTAGAGACTGGAATGTGGAATGAGCATTTGATAATCCAAATTACATCACCAAGAATTCATGATGTCTCTGTATGTGTCATCAAAACTATTTTTTCAATATCTTCCTCACATTTTTATTTGATGGTACCCCAATTGAAGAACCAATTTGGAAAAAAGGTGGCTCCTCCAATTTCATCTAACAACTCCTCTGTGGATAGAAGAAGGAACTTATTGATTACTGTAACTTTGTTCAAAACTCTACAATCAACATAGATCATCTCCATCTTTATTTTTAACCAAAATAATAGGACGAGCATATACTCGGACGAATGAGGCCCGCTTCTAACATCTCTTTCATCAATTTTTCGATCTCCGTTTTCTGAGAGTGGGGATATTTGCTATTTGAGAACCCGCCTTTAGAATAATAGCATGATCTTGTCTCCTAGGTGGAGGAAGAGTATCAAAAACCTGTGAATATATCAATCGCTAGGTGTACCCACTCAACCATTCTGGTCTCTTCTAATATTAAAATTTGTTTCCATTTCAAACTGTACACCTCTCCCACCTCCTGAAGTATTCCATTGATGGCTTTCAGAGAAACCGAAGATTTGATTAATTCCGGTTCAGCCTTGAAACATTTTTTTTCCCCCGTTGATTTCAAACTGAAGAGTTAAGTGGCAAAGTTTGCTTTGATTTGATCCAGACTAGCCAACCATCCCAAACCCAACACTGCATCCACCGCTCCCAAGCCAAACAAGAAAAAATCTTACCGAACTGTCAAGTCATTCATCTGCAGCACTAATCTCTCACACATACCTTTACTCAATCTTGTGGCCATTAACGACTTCCCCCGAATAAGGTTTTGTGTCAACAACATAGAATTTGCAAAGTAAGAGTTTACAGATACAACCACTGCCACTTTGAGGGTCCAGGGACTTCCCACTAACAATACTATTTTCTTTTTGTCCCCCAAGACCCGAAAATGTACACACACACACAAAATAT